TGGGGAGTGCTGGGTCACCCAGGACCCCACTCACAAAGTGGGGAGCGGGCTGCTTGCTGTGAAAAAAGTCAATTCACCAATTGGCCAATTTGTTGGAAGCCAAAATGAAAGGCTCAATGGTGAGCCTGATGAATGCCCAATTCCAGAAGCTGTGAAATTTATAGCAGCTCATGAATCTCAGAATGATTTTTAACAGCATATGAAGATATCTTTAGAAAGCTTTTGTTTATCTACAGCTTTCCTTGATATTGATCCTCAGTTGTTTTTCAGCCCACTCGTCAGTTGTGCTTTTTTTATGTCAAATTTCCATGTTCCCTATTTCAGTCACCAAGCACTTCTCACATTCTCCATATCTTACACAGATATGTTTGTTCTTGTTTTTTCTTATTTTTGTGTGATTCATTTTTAAACTGGCTGTACAGAATACAAGCATGTATTTGTAAATGACTCCCATCTTTTATGCAATTTAGCAGTTTAATTTTTAGTAATACATTTTATTGAGGTGTAATTAATACAGAGCAAAACACAAATATTAATAGAAGGACATCCTGGTACATTTTGACAAATGCATATGCCAGTGCAACAGTAACTGAAATGATTTTAAAAAAAATTTCCATCACTCAGGAAAGTGTCCTCATGCTCTTTTCCAATCAATTTCTATCCCAGAGATAAAAACTTTTTTTATTTTTATCATCATTGACTAGCTTTGTTTATTCTTGAACTTCATATAAATGGAATCATGTAACATTTTTATTGAGTTATTTTCCTACAAAATTAGTATGTCTGAAGTGTATTCATATTGTTGTTTCAGTAGGTCACTCTTTCTTATGATTAATATGCCATTGCATAAATGTACCACAGCTTGTTGATCCACGCTCCTGTTGATGGAGATCCATGTTACTCCTGTCTTCAACTATTAGGAATAAAGTTGTTGTGAACATTCTTGTGGAATTTTTTCTTGTGGACATACACATTTTTTTTTTTTTTTGGTATAGACTTAAGAGTAGAAATACTGACTCACGGTGTAGATGTGTGTGCTATGCTTGCATGTCCCTACAAATCTCATGTTGAACTTTGTCAATGTAATGGTATAGGGAGTTGGGACTGTTATGACTAGGTCATGAGGGATCTGCCTTCAAAAAGAGATTAACGCCCTTATTGTGGGAGCGAATTAGTTATCTTGGGAATGAACTTCTGATTAAAAGGATGGAGGGCGTTCCAAGATGACCAAATAGGAACAGCTCTGTTCTGCAGCTCTCATGATGATTGACGCAGAATCGGGTGCTTTCTGCATTTCCAAGTGAAGTACCTAGTTCATCTCACTGGGGCTGGTTCGACAGTGGATGCAGCCCACGGAGGGTGATCTGAAGCAGGGCTGGGTGTCGCCTTACCTGGGAAGCACATGGGGTTAGGAGATTCCCCTTTCCTAGCCAAGGGAAGCCGTGAAAGACTACCTGGAAAAACGGGACACTCCTGCCCAAACACTGTGCTTTTCCCAAGGTCTTAGCAACTAACAGACATGGTGACTCTCTTCCGTGCCTGGTTCAGCAGGTCCCATACCCATGGAGCCTTGCTCTCTGCTAGCGACAGTCTGAGATCCATCTGTGAGGCTGTAGCCTGGCTTGGGAAAGGGTGTCCGCCGTTGCTGAGGCTTTAGTAGGTAAACAAAGCAGCCAGCAAGCACGAACTGGGCAGAACCCACTGCAGCTCAACAGGGCCTACAGACTTTAGACTCCACCTCTATGGGCAGGGCATAGCTGAGCAAAAGGCATCAGACAACTTTTGCAGACTTAAATGTCCCTGTCTGACAGCTCTGAAGGAGCAGTGGTTCTCCCAGCACGGCATTTGAGCTCTGAGAATGGACAGACTGCCTCCTCAAGTGGGTCCCTGACCCCTGTGTAGCCTAACTGGGAGACACCTCCCAGTAGGGGCTGACAGACACCTCATATAAGTGGCTGCCTCTCTGGGACGAAGCTTCCAGAGGAAGGATCAGGCAGCAATTTTTGCTGTTCTGCAATATTTGCTGTTCTGCAGCCTCCACTGGTGATACCCAGTCAAACAGTGTCTGGAGTGGAACTCCAGCAATCTCCAACAGACCTGCAGCTGAGGGACATGACTGTTAGAAGGAAAACTAACAAACAGAAAGAAATAGCATCAACATCAACAAAAAAGTCATCTACACCAAAATTCTATCTGTAGGTCACCAACATCAAAGACCAAAGGCAGATAACACCAAAAAGATGGGGAGAAACCAGAGAAGAAAAGCTGAAAATTCTAAAAGTCAGAGCACCTCTTCTACTCCAAAGGATCATAGGTCCTTGCCAGCAACAGAACAAAGTTGGATGGAGAATGACTTTCAGAAGCTGACAGAAGTGGGCTTCAGAAGGTTGATAATAACAAACTTTCTGAGCTAAAGGAAGATGTTCGAACCCATCGCAAGGAAGCTAAAAACCTTGAAAAAAGATTAGATGAATGGTTAGCTAGAATAAACAATGTAAAGAAGACCTTAAATGACCTGATGAAGCTGAAAATCATGGCACAAGAACTTTGTGATGAATGCACAAGCATCAGTAGCTGATTCGATGAAGTGGAAGAAAGTGTATCAATAATTGAAGATCAAATTAATGAAATAGAGTGAGAAGACAAGGTTAGAGGAAAAAGAGTAAAAAGAAATGAACAAAGCCTCCAAGAAATATGGGACTATGAGAAAAGACCAAATCTACGTTTGATTGGTGTACCTGAAAGTGATGGGGAGAATGGAACTAAGTTGGAAAACACTCTTCAGGATATTATCCAGGAGAACTTCCTCAACCTAGCAAGACAGGCCAACATTCAAATTCAGGAAATACAGAGAACACCACAAAGATACTCCTTGAGAAGAGCAATGCTGAGACACATAATTGTCAGATTCACCAAGGTTGAAATGAAGGAAAAAGTGTTAAGGGCAGCAAGAGAGAAAGGTCTTGCTACCCAAAAGGGGAAGCCCATCAGACTAATAGCAGATCTCTTGGCAGAAACTCTACAAGCCAGAAGAGAGTGGGGGCTAATATTCAACATTCTTAAAGAAAAGAAGTTTCAACCCAGAATTTCATATCCAGCCAAACTAAGCTTAATAATTGAAGGAGAAATAAAATCCTTTACAGACAAGAAAATGCTGAGAGATTTTGTCACCACCAGGCCTGCCTTACAAGAGCTCCTGAAGGAAGCACTAAACATGGAAAGAAACAACCAGTATCAGCCACTGCAAAAACATGCCAAATTGTAAAGACCATCGATACTATGAAGGAACTGCATCAATTAACAGGCACAATAACCAGCAAACATCATAATGGGAGGATCAAATTCACACATAGCAATATTAACCTTAAATGTAAATGGGCTAAATGCCCCAATTAAAAGACACAGACAGGCAAATTGGATAAACGGTCAAGACCCATCAGTGTGCTGTATTCAAGAGACCCATCTCTCATGCAGAGACACACATGGGCTCAAAATAAAGGGATGGAGGAAGATCTACCAAGGAAATGGAAAGCAAAAAAAGCAGGGGTTGCAATCGTAGTCTCTGATAAAACAGATTTTAAACCAACAAAGATAAAAAGAGACAAAGAAGGTCATTACATAATGATAAAGGGATTAATTCATCAAGAAGAGCTAATTATCCTAAATATATATGCACCCAATACAGGAGCACCCAGATTCATAAAGCAAGTCCTTAGAGACCTACAAAGAGACTTATAGACTCCCACACAATAATAATGGGCGACTTTAACACCCCACTGTCAATATTAGACAGATCAACAAGGCAGAAGGTTAACAAGGATATCCAGGAACAAAGCAAAAAGAACAAAGCTGGAGGCATCACACTGCCTGACTTCAAACTATACTACAAGGCTACAGTAACCAAAACAGCATGGTACTGGTACCAAAACAGAGATATAGACAAATGACACGAACAGAGGCCCCATAAATAACACCACATATCTACAACCATCTGATCTTTGACAAACCTGACAAAAACAGGAAGTGGGGAAAGGATTCCCTATTTAATCAATGGTGCTGGAAAAACTGGCTAGCCATATGTAGAAAGCTGAAACTGGATCCCTTCCTTACACCTCATAAAAAAATTAATTCAAGATGGATTAAAGACTTAAATGTTAGACCTAAAACCATAAAAACCCTAGAAGAAAACCTAGGCAATACCATTCAGGACATGGCATGGGCAAGGACTTCATGAGTAATCACCAAAAGCAATGGCAACAAAAGCCAAAAAAGACAAATGGGATCTAATTAAACTAAAGAGCTTCTGCACGGCAAAAGAAACTTCCATCAGAGTGAACAGGCAACCTACAGAATGGGAGAAAATTTTTGCAATCTACCCATCTGACAAAGGGCTAATATCCAGAATCTACAAAGAATTCAATCAAATTTACAAGAAAAAGACAACCCCATCAAAAAATGTGCAAAAGATATGAACAGAGACTTCTCAAAAGAAGACATTTATACAGCCAACAGACACAGGAAAAATGCTCATCATCACTGGTCATCAGAGAAATGCAAATCAAAACCGCAATGAGATACATATGGCTTTCTCATATAAATGTCTACACATGTTTTTCTTAATTTATTCTAGTAAAATTTAAGTTTGGATTTCACCACTAATAATATTCTACTTATTAGAATAGCAATCATTAATAAGTCAGGAAAAAACAGACGCCGAAGAGGATGTGGATAAATACGAATGCTTTTACACTGTTGGTGGGATTGTAAACTAGTTCAACCATTATGGAAAACAGTATGGCGATTCCTCAAGGATTTAGAACTAGGGGCGATGGGGCAGCCTGGGAGCTGGGGAAGAGAAGGCAGAGGAGCAACTGTCTCATCAGATAAATTTCTGCCCTCACCCAGCACTCTGGCTCTGCAGGAAAGGTAGAGAGTCCAAGGTCCCTGGAGCCCTAGGCCTAAGGAAGGCTGCATGAGGACGACACAGGACAGTGACATCACAGGATACCCCTCCCATCAGGAAAATCAAGGTGCAGAACTCACTCAGCTCTTCCCTAGAAGGACCAAGCCCTGCGTCAGGTGCGGTGCTGCCTGCCCCACTGTGCCATGGGCCCCGGGCTCCTCTGCTGGGCGCTGCTTTGTCTACTGGGAGCAGGTGAGTCCTGTGCACAGGACAGCAGCCCCATTCTCAGCTTTCCCACCCCTGTGTCTTCCACTTTACCTCGGGGAGGGTTTCCAGGCTGTCTCCTGTGCTCACCCTCCGTCTCCTTTTCCCACAGGCTCAGTGGACGGTGGAGTCACCCAAAGTCCCAGGCATTTGATCAAAACAACAGGACAGCAAGTGACACTGAGATGCTCTCCTATCTCTGGGCACACCAGTGTGTCCTGGTACCAACAGGCCCTGGGTCAGGGGCCCCAGTTTATCTTTGAGTATTATGAAGAGAAAGAGAGAGAGAGAGGCAACTTCCCTGATCGATTCTCAGGTCACCAGTTCCCTAACTATAGCTCTGAGCTGAATGTGAATGCCTTGGAGGCGGGGGACTCGGCCCTGTATCTCTGTGCCAGCAGCTTGGCACAGCCCGGCAGAGTCACTGACATTCTGTATATAAACTTCCTGCCTTAGCTTTGACTTGAGAGCTGCAGGCCCCACCCAGTTTTCACTCCTTCAAGGGAAGCGTTTAGTTGTTTGGAAGGCATGTCTACTGTCCTACTGAGCGCAGAGCTCTCTCAACCAACAGAGCCCAAGTTTCATGTGCCCTGAGAGTGCCCGCTTCTCTGCTGCATCTTCTTGCAGCTTGTCACTTCCTGGGTAATTTCAGAACAAGAGTGACTGCTGAGCCCCAGACGTGTGCTTGATTCTTTGTATTTGTTATATAGCTTAAAAGTTTTCAACAATCTTGCACATCAAACATTCTTATTCTTCCTTTACAGATGGAAGGATCAGGGACATTGAGTCATTTTCCCCAGTGTCTCCTGGCTTGCAAGAATCAGAAGTAGGAAACAAACTAGTCCATACATTTTCCACCTATTCCCCCTGCTCCATCATCACCTTCTGCATCCTGGTCAGTAAACCAGAACCCTCACACTGTCCTCTAGTGACCTGCAGGGCTGCAGTAGAGGCTCAGCTGTCTTAAGGAGTCATTACTATGGCTTCTTCATTAGCAACTTTGAGGAATGTTAAATTTCACATTAAAAAAAAATCATTTACATGCATTCCCTGTGTCTTTCCCCAGTCTGCAGCTTATACTTTCATATTTATGGTGTTTTTTGATGCAAAAGAGTTTACTTTAATGCAACAAAAACTAAAAACAATTCTGTTTGAGTGTAGACAAAAACTGCTTTCTCATATAAATGTCTACGCATGTTTTTCTTAATTTATTCTAGTAAAATTTAAGTTTGGATTTTCACCACAAAGAATAAATGTACCTGAAATATATCTCCTGTAAAAAACAACATAGAGACCTAGGAATGGGAGGGAAGCACATATGTTCAGTGAAGAAGCCTGTTAAAAAGAGCCCTAAAGTGGACACCCGGAGCTGACGGTGGAGAGGTAGGTAGAGGAGAAATAATCACGAACCTTGTCAGGCTGTTGTCTGTTAGAAGAAAGACAGCCAGGAGCAGGGACCACATGGGCGAAGGTTTATGACTGGACTGTAGGTTGAAGGTTGCAGCAGGTAGAGGGAGGAATAGCAGGCAGAGGGCAGAGTCACTGGCTGGCAGGGGCAGTGGCATCACCAGTTGACTCTACTAACATCCAGGATTTATGTTCCCAAAACACAAGCTGAAAAACCTCCCCGCAATTTCCCCGTTTTTCCCTGACCCAGCTACAACCACCAGGCTCCTGAGTGCTGTGGCCTTTTGCTCCCCGGGGGCAGGTGAGTCCCCTAAAGCCTTTTCCTCGGCTCACCACATCCTAGCCTAAGCCTTTACCTCAGGTCTACATTATTGGGTCCCTCACTGGGCACTCAACTTCCTTCTATCATAGACTTCACAGAAGCTGGGACAACCAGATCCCAAGATACTAAAGAACAAATGCAGGACATGAAGTGGCATAGAGATGCCTGAGACTGTCATCCATGACTACGTGTGTGGGAGTTAATAGGAGCCCAAGCTGGTGCACAGCTGATCCGTCCCAGCCCACACTACAGAGAAATCCCTGAGGGTCTGTAACTTTCTCTCAAAGCCAAATACGTGGCCTTGGTGTCAGAAGCCTCTCCCAGACCTCTGTGCCCTCTTGCACCAGCCTTCACCCCACAGCCACCTTCCTCTGTACACAAAGCTCAGTGGAAGATATAGGTGGCCTTGTCTTCACGAGACTGTGATTCAGGCAGTGGATAATGTTGTCCCATAGGCCCCTCCCCAACACTGCCCAGGTTGGGGCCCTCAGAGCTCTGAGCAGCCCTGTGTGTGTGAAACCCTGCTCTGTGCTGAGCTTTTCCCCCAGGCCAGTCTCAGCTGGACGAGGGAACGACCATCACCGTGATGTGAGTAGATGCAGCCCCTCTTCCAGGCCCCTCCTGCAGCTCTGGCCTCAGAAGTCCTGTTCCTCAGTTGCTCTCAGAAAGGAAAGTTCATTTGAAATTGTGTATTTGCAGACAGCATTGACAACACAGGTCTATGCTCTTTTCCCTGACGGCCTTCACAACTCCTTCTTCCCTACACCACGCTCATGTCAGTCCTCAGCCTTCTCCACGTGATGTCTGCTCCCAGCTGTTCTCTCCCTTCCTCTGCACCCTCATCTCCACATCAACCACGGAAGTGTCAGTTCAGGCCATTCCTCATGCATCATGCTCCTCCCAACAAAGGCCATTCCACTCCACACCGTATCCTCCGGGTCAACACAAATCTCTTACATTGTGTTCTTTCTCCAAATCTCAGTTTAACTATGACCATCTCTAGGGAGACACTCTTTCAACAGTTTTTCTAGGCTGCACCTCCCTATTATAAATGCTCACAGCTTATAATATGCATTAGTATTCACAGATTTAACATCATTGTCATTTTCCATGACTTTGTGTGGCTAATGGATACTTCTCTTGCGCTCTAGACTGTAAAACTCATCATTTCAGAAATTGTGGATGTTTTGTTCCCTATTTTATTGTCAATACCAACAGCAGTTCGAGGTGCCAGCGGCCAATCTTGAAAGAATAAAGAATAGATAGTGAAAGGCCCTCTGGGTTCCTATTTAGACTGTTTCAGAAGTCTGGATGCAAAAGATCATGAAATCTTATAGACTTGTTTCAATTCAGACGAATGTGTTCTTCTCATTCTCAGCTGTTCACTGGTGCATTTATCTTGAATTTGACCATCTGGGGAATGGGCGTGGCCTCTCCTGACAGGAAGGCTGTGGGGCCCAGGCAGGGAGAATGAGGTCTCAGAACTACTCCATTGAGAGTCCTCTTCCCCTTTTATCAATGCACAGACCCAGAAGACCCCTCCATCCTGTAGCACCTGCCATGACCATTGGGCTCTTGTACTGTGCGGCCTTTTCTCTCCTGTGGGCAGGTGGGTCCTGGGCAGGGCCCCTTGCGTGGATTTCAAGGCCCAGGCCCTTTCCACTGGGGCTGCAGCATCAGCTTTATTCTTCTCCGCAGGTCTAGTGAATGCTGGTGTCACTCAGACCCCAAAAATTCCAAGTCCTGAAGACAGGACAGAGCATGACAGTGCAGTGTGCCCAGGATATGAACTATAACTTCATGTACTGGTATCGACAAGACCCAAGCATAGGGCTGAGGCTGATTCATTACTCAGGTGCTGCTGGTACTACTGATAAAGGAGAAGTCCCCAGTGGCTACAATGTCTCCAGATTAAACACAGAGGATTTCCCACTCAGACTGGAGTCGGTTGCTCCTTCCCAGACATCTGTGTACATTTGTGCCAGCAGTTACTCCACAGCGTTACAAGGCCGTCTCCTCTCTGCACATGAAAGCAGGCAGGCTCTGCCCTCCTCCCCCACTCAAGACTCAGGGATGCCCTGGGCAGAGTTTTCTGCAACAGGAACCTTGGAATCCTGAGTGGCCCCAGGTGGCCAGGACAGCATGAGCCTCACTCTGTGCCAGGTGCCTCTGCAGGCAGTCTCAGCCAGGCCTGGACTGCTCCAGGTCCTCGGATGTCTCCTTTGTTGCTCTCTCTGGTCTATCCTCTGAGCTCTCCCTTTTGGGTAGGGCCAGGACTTCCCCAGCTCCTACTTTTCTACTCATCATCCTGAGTCTGGGGCGCCCAGGATGAAACAGGATTTGTATTTCACATCCATCTAGACTCCAGTCTCTCCCTGGTGAATATGTTGTTTCCTCTCTCTAGGTTTTACCCCAGCCCCCACCCTCATGTGGTCTCTCCTGTGGCCCACCTTTCCCATCTGGGCAGTCACCCTCCATCCCCCACCTCCCCGCCCCTCTCTACTGCAGCCATGGGGGGAACCCCTCTTCTGTGACTCCTTCCTTCCCATCACAAAGACTTCAAAGGCCATTTCCTTTCCCCTGGGCTGGAGCCTTCCTTTCTCTAATGGCCAGCTCCTACCTGTGCTTCAGATCTCAGCATGATCAGCCCTCCTGCGGGAAGCACTCCCTCCCCTCCCAGCTGAAATCAACTGTCGTCTCATAAGCTCCCATAGAATCATGTGTCTGTTAGTAATGTTTCGCACACTTGGGCTTTCTCAGATACTTGTTCTGCTTATTTTTGTGCCTCCCCCAATTTTTTTTTTTTTTTTTTTGACAGAGTCTCACTCTGTGGCCAGGCTGGAGTGCAGTGGCATGATCTCTGCTCGCTGCAACCTCTGACTCTCTGATTCAAGTGATTCTCCTGCCTAAGCCTCCCGAGTAGCTGGGATTACAGGTGTGCACCACCACGTCCAGCTAATTCTTTTTTGTATTTTTAGTAGAGGTGGTGTTTCACCATGTTGGCCAGGATTGTCTCAATCTCCTGGCCTCAGGATTCACCTGCCTTGGTCTCCCAAAGCGCTGGGATTACAGGCCTGAGCCACCACACCCAACCTCTCCACTCAGTTTTTAAGCGCATGAGAGCTAAGGTTGTG